GGGGGGGGGCGGGGGGGTGGGGTGGGGTGGGGATGCTTTTGATTGGCAGAACCTCTGTCTCAGGCCAGTACCCGTAGCTGCAGAGGCTGGAAAATAAGTATCTGGTGTTTTCACCCTCTCAGGAGAGGGTGAGCTCTGCTCCTCCCTAAGCCTTATGAGCTAGTGGATTCCCTAATTATGAAAATGGTATTCAGAAACTGGGCTACGAAAAACAATGACAAATCCATTCTATAATCAGTGTATTTCTATTTCTGAGTTAGCTGAAGTACTGCAAAACAATTTTTTATTCAGATTTTTTACTTTATTTGAAGAAAGTTTCTAGTTGTGCAGTAGTGAGCTGGAGTTGACATATATAAGCACAATCTCTGGTCTGGAAGAAATCTTTGTTATTTGATGTGAGACTAAACTTGCAACATGTTTGTATACATGAAAATACCCAAAGTAGATAGGTTTTTGAAGGGAATGGAAATATCTTGGCTAATATTGAATATCTTAGCCAGTGGTAGATGGAGATAATAAAAAGAACACATAAGACTCCAACTCTTAACTGTAGCCATTGATTTTATTTTCTTCCTTTAACAAACTTTAACCAATTACTCAATACTCATGGCTGCTGGTAAGGAGGAAATTGGAAATCGTGGGTATCTGCTCTTTCTGCTTCTTTCCCTCACATTTTGGTAGAATCGATAACGAGAGTGCTTAAAGGCAGGCAATAAGAGAGGCAAATAGGAATCGGCATATGGATAATGCACAGACACTTCAATCAGAGTTTTAATAACTGTGATGGTGGCAGTACTTGTTTGGTTCTTGTATCTAAAGTCTTGTCATCAGGTACCAAGGCCTTAAAACATGCTTTAATTATAGAATAATATTTGTGAAACTAGAATTGGATTAGGTATTATGTAGAAAACTATAGACCTACAGTGCATTCCATATTTATCATGACGGTGTTAGCCTCAGCTGTATCACCTAGAGAGTCTAATTTCCCTTGCCTGTTGGGTTTTCAGTCCCTCATCAGTTGCTATTGATCTGATAGCTCATAGAGAACTGTGGCTCTTCTTGTTGATTTTAATCAGTAAAGCTTTTTGAAGTTAGAAATTGTTGCTTGTTTGAGAACATCAGGTTACAAGTTTCAGTTTAGATCTCCTAGTTACTCAGTAGCTGTAAGACCATGCAAAAGGAATATACAGAAATACTAGGAGACCTTTTTTTTTTTTTAAAGTTATAGCTGGTACTTCCAAAGTACACTGGGCAGGATAATCTCTTAAACTTCAGATTATTGCTACAGCAAAAATTTGTACTTGATTGACTAAAACTACTTTATCATAAAATGTGACATTACTGTTAATTGCATTTTTCAATAATTTTTTCTTTGCATTCCCAGGAATACAAACAAGTGATCCTAACGCTGTGGTCATAGGATTGGCACCAGACCATTTTCATTATCAAATTCTGAATCAAGCATTCCGGTAAGTCTTTAGCTGTTTATTTTTCATGTGATCATATACTCCTTTCTTCTCTTCTTAAGTCTTTATCGTGTAAGGTTATACATAATTTACTTTCTGGCCACCTAGATTGTAGGTGTACAGATATCTTAAAGATCACTTCAAGATCAACATTGAATATTTATTACAGTCTTCATTGGTTTTTTAAAAATAATCAATATGTTAAAACGTGATGATCACTGGGGTTTTTCTGGTTCGTAGGATCAATATTCTGGGGCAGAAATTCATAATCAAATTGTAAATCTAAAGCTAGGAGTTTTATCTTATTATCACTCCTGTGATTCTTCACTGACTATGATCTCGGAAGGAAAATAAGATCCAGGCTAATTCACCCAAAACAGTAAATGTGATTCTTCCTCCAGAGAGAATCCAGGCTATCGAAAGAAGTTGGCACGTTTGACCACACTTTCAAAGAAATTATTCGACGAGTGATGACGGTAGTCTGATCTGTGATTGTGGCAGTAGGGATGAAGAAAACGAGATTCTGGTATTGTCAACATGACCTGATGGACAGTTGGGTCAAGGGGGTGAAGAAGAACAGTGAGTCAACATCTAGATATCTGACCTAAGAGCCTGTGATAGAGAACACTCCCTGTGTGGGTTCAGGAGGTGATGAGTTTAGGGTGGGGCTCTTCGAACTGTGGGCTATATAAGTGGAGGGGTTCCAATAGCTGTTGGTAGAAATTGAGGAACCACAACTAACATGTAAAATGTTATAAATCTTCAATTGTGTGTGCATTTTACCTATATGAACTTTTTACTGCTACTTCCAAAAGACAGACTGCATACTTCCTAAACTAAATTGGATCAGAATTTATTCGCAAGTCTACTCTAGAGTGAGATTGTGATTTTTTTTCCTCTTGGATTTTTCATTTTTTATAGATTTTTCATTTTTCATCTTGCCTTTTGCTTCTTGTTGAACATTAAACAGTGTAATTTGCCTTTAAATTTATGAGAAGTTAAGTAGTCCTACATATTGCATAGATGTACATTGAACTAACTTTTTAAAAAATTTCTTTAATAGCTTGGTAAATTTTTGGAATTTAACATCATTTTCTTACCAGTACGAAGATATTCAAGAATCATTCTAACTTACACTTGATGTAGAATTCACTTCTTGATGTATATGTTCTAGAATCAAAATGTTAAAACTCACTACAGGGTTCACACATCTGGGCACATTATTTGATCTTGAAGAAGGCTACCCTGTGTACAGTCTATGTGGCCAGAAATAGCCCTTTGGGAACAGTCACCTTTTTTCCATTTGCACATTAATTTTAGATCCTCGGTTATGAAAACTATGGCTACTGAATGTACTTTTATTTGTGACTCTCTTAGTTACTGTGACAGTCAAGCCTTTGTTTAAATAAAAATATATACACTTTTTATAATTGCTCAGTAGACATTATTTCCCAAAGATCCACTATTGTGCCAGATTGCTTGAGTATTAAAATTTCTTTGCTTTACCTACTTCAGTTTTCTTCTCTAGCTTCTTGGGGGACAGGGGGACAAAGGGATTATCTCACCAGCTCCTTAAGGTTTATAACTATAACCAAAACCAGTTTTCATTTGAAATAGAGAACCTGCTATTATATCTTGCTTCCGAATTTACCCCCTGCTACATTTTATTCATTTCTGAACCACAGAATTCAAGGAGAAGGTATTGATTGACTTTAGCTGGTAATTTGGTAAGGACCTATTTAATAGGAAATTGAGAGGTCTCTGTCTTAGATAAATACTAGACTCAGGGTAATAAAAATGTATGTTGATATAATACTGACTTTGTAATTGTTTGGATGCTGTCTAATTAGCACACTTCCCTAACCATATTGATTTTTTTAAACACTACATTTTAAAGCATTACAATGCACTTATAAGTCAACTCTAATTTCACAAATGCACTTAACAGCTGGGTGGAAAGTTAACAAAAGGATTTTAGGTCTTGCCCTTCTTTGCATATTGATGTCTCCACAGAGACTGTGCCTTCCAACCAATGACTACAGCTGTTTGGGTTGTGACATCTCAAATGCACCGCCAATTAGTTAAATTACTATTCAGGCTCTTAATGAGGATAAACATTGGATTTTAAACCCCCGTTGCATATCTGCCTTGAATACCAGCTTTAGGGGCATATTGCCTTCAGGCAGATACATCAACCTTCCACATTACACTCCTCTTATTTACTGTATTTTGAGTGGGTAGGCCCCCCTGAAATGCATAGTATGCTCTGTCTACAAAAATGTCTTAAATGTCTGAATAAAATTGAAAACACTGAATTTTAAAGAATTGATTTTGGAGAAGGATGTGAACCACTTATAGGGGATAGACGTGATTTGGGCTTGGATTCTATGAAACATTCAAATCCTGAGAGCCATGGATGGCTTTTTACCTTTTACCTAATACTAAAAGGTACAAAGTGTAATATAATGAATACCCATATGCCTGTCAATCGGTTTAAGAAATACAAGTTATCAACACGTTTGATATCCCCTGTGTATCCCTCCTCAGTTTTGTCAGCCAAGACCCAAAAGTAATCAGGATTGTGAATTTCTGTTTATCATTGTCTTGCATTTCTTTATACTTGTAACACTTACGTAGGTATTTCTAGACTATATGTAGTATTATCTTGCATGTTTTATACTTTATGTCCGCATCAGTTTGCTTTCTTCCCTAGAAATAATGTATGATTCATCAATATGAATGCCTATAACTCCATTCATTTTCACAGTTGTAGTACTAGCTTGTAGCAAGGTCTTTTTTCATCTTCTGACCTGTTAGGGGAAAAAAAGCTTGAGCATTTCAGTAAGGGACCAATTTTAATTAAATTCTATTCGGAGAAAGCCCACCTGGGCAAGCAGATCACTTAATCTAAATGAACTTGGTATTAACAAGACTAAAAAATATCTAACCTCAAAATTAATATGTCCTCCCGGAATAAAGACGCAAAAGTGGAGAATGGACTTGAGGACGGGGCCGTGGGATAGGGTAAGCTGGAACGAAGTGAAAGAGTAGCATTGACACGACCAAATGTAAAATAGATAGCTAGTGGGAAGCAGCTGCATAACACAAGAAGATCAGCTCGGTGCTTTGTGACCACCTAGAAGGGTGGGAGGGAGGCGCAAGAGGGAGGAGATATGGGGATATATGTATACGTATAGCTGATTCACTTTGTTGTACAACAGAAACTAACACACCATTGTAAAGCAATTACACTCCAATAAAGATGTTAAAAAAAATTAGTATGTCCTCATTGTGGAAGTTTTCAAATGCTCAAAAAAGAAACAAGAATAAACAAAATTACCTGAACAACAGTTAACATTTTAGCATATAGCTAGTTTATTTGTTTCCATGCACATATATATTTAGACAAAAAGAATGTATACATACTATGTGGTAATTGCCTTTTAAAAAGCCGACAATATACTGTGCATGTTTTTCTATATTCTTAAATATTCTTCTAAAACATATTTGATTCCCAGAGCATATTCCACTTAAAAAAATGCAATAAATTGTGTAGCCATGTATTTCTGATTGTTAGTTATTTCCAGGTTTCATGAGTTAGTTTTTTATAAAAAACTTCTGAATGTGTTTGTTAAGCAATACTTACATTTCTGTAACGTGTTTTCTCAGAAGTACAGTTGCTGGATCAAAGGAATTTTGGTAAAAAACTTCATGGAAATTGCTTAACTTAATAGTTCACAGAAAAGAAAATTTTTCTACATTAAGAGCAGCTGCCCTCCAGCTTCACCAGGAGCTTATTAAAATGTTGTTACAATTGAAGATAAGTGACGTCATATAACTTTCACATTTAAATGTGGAGATGAAGGCTGCTTAAGAATAATGTTTTGAAGCTTTGCTAATGACTTCTTTCCTATAATTGTTACAAGGTATGAGAATCCTCCAAAAGTCTTAGAGGTGCACAGAAATTAGTTTCTCGTGTGTTTGGGGAAGAGATTCTTATCCCCATAAATGGTTTCTGTTGAATATTGGATTGCTTTCTTTTCCCCTTCTCATTAAGAAAAGAATAAAAAGTTTAATTACTAATGTATTCAATTCCTTACAAAGGGGAGAAGAAAAATCAACAATAATGTCCTCAGTTACTGCATTTGTACAGCAGCTCCTGAATCTTTTCTAAGAGTCCTGGGCATAAGGAATTCTAGAACAGTGTGGCAGTAGAGCTTAAATTAGAAATATTTCTGTGAGCTGTTTCCATTTTGAAAGGGCTGACTGCTATGCAGTCTTTTTAATTAAGGTCCAGACTATAAAAATAAAACACTCTGGAGATGAGAAATTGTTGAAGACTTAAGAACTTGAGTTATTTAAAGCGTTCCATTAGTATATGCAGAACAACTTTATATGCCAATTTGAAGATCTCAGAATACAGAATTGAGTTTAATATTAGTCACTACTCATTATTTAATTAACTGGGGAGATTCTTTTATGATCACGGCAACTCTTGCTACTCTAAATAAAAGCTTTAGGTGAATAAACCACATAAATATATTGTTACTGATCTTTTAAAATTGATGTATAACATACAATAAGTTATACAGATTGTCAGTGTACAACTCAGTAAAAATTGACCCATAGATAAACCTGTGTAACCCCCACTCTGATCATGAGACAGAACATTTCCAGCGCCCTAGAAGGCTCTCTATCCCAGTCAATACCACCCCTTCCTCAAGGTAACCACTACTCTGACTTCTATCAGTATTGCCAGTTTTTGATCTTCATATGAATGAAATCACACAGTTGTAGCATTTTGTTTTTGGTCTGTTTTTGAGATTTATCCAAATTGTTACATGTAGCAATACTTTGTTTTTGGTTTTTTTGTTTATTTTTGTTGTTGTGTAGTAGTCTATTGTATGTATATTCTACAATTTATTCAGTTGTTAATGGACATTTGGATTTTTCCAGTTTGGGCTGTTAAGAATAAAGCTGCTATGAACATTCTGCATGTCTTT